AAGAGATGTAAGTGGACCATAAAGGTAAGCAAAAAGAAAATCTGAGGAGCAGATTGCTAAAAACGTTAAGACAAACAATAAGCATTTCCTTCCAATATACCAGGATCAGGAAATCGGCTAGGGAAGCAGTTGGGCCCTGGGATGACAAAGCAGTGAAAGGATTGCTTAAGGAAGATGGGGAGATGGCAGAGAAACTGAATGCTTTGTGTCTGTTTTCATTTTGGAAACTGTGGGACATGTACCCATGCTAAGAAGAGGAGGAGGAGACTGGATTTATACCCCACCCTTCACTACCAAAAGGTGTCTCAGAGCGGCTTACAAACTCCTTTCCCTTCCCCTCCCCACAACAGACATCCTGTGAGGTAGGTGGGGTTGAGAGAGCTCTGACAGAAACGGCTCTTTTTCAAGAACAGCTCTTATCAGAACTATGGCTTGCCCAAGGTCATCCAGCCAGGTGAAAGTGGAGGAGTGGGGAATCAAACCCGGTTCTCCCAGATTAGAGTCCACGGACTTAACCACTACACCAAACTGGCTGAGAGTTGCTGTTCTGGGGAAAGAAGTCTGAATAATGGAATGAAACTGCGGTGAATATAGATGGAGTTCTAGAACTACTGAACAAACTGAATATAAATAATATGTTGCCAGATCTCGATAGCCATACACTCGAGGGTTCTTAAGAGCTCAAACGTGAAACTGTTCATCTGCTAACCAATGTATGTAACTTCTCATTAAAACTGCCCTCTGTACCGGAAGACTGGAAAGTTGCAAATGTTACACCGGCATTTAAAAGGGGCCCAGGGAGGATCCAGGAAATTATAGGCTGGTTAGCCTAACATCTGTCCCAGGTAGATTAGTATAAACTATTATTAAAGATAAAATTGTGCCGTACATAGAAAAAGAAAAAAGTCTGCCGGAGTTCTTTGAGAAGATCAGCAAGCCTGTAGATAAGGGTGATCCAGCAGATATTATATACTATTATATACAGAGGTCATTTCGGGGGGGATCGTGGGGGATCGCAGTTCCCCCCGGGTGAGGTATGGGGGGTGGGGCACATGACGAAGCCCCGCCCCCTGCTTCCGGCCGCTCCGCTTCCGGCCCTCATTCAGCCAGGAGGAGGCAGGAGAAGAGGGAGGGTAAGTTGCTTCCTCCCTGCCAGCAGGAGCTCATTAGCATAACAGGCCACACCCAACAGCAGAAACTCATTGGAATTGGCTACATTAGGGGTGTGTGGCCTAACATGCAAAGGAGTTCCTGCTACAAACCCCCCCCTGTGTTTTGACAACAAACAAGGTAAACAGAATAAGAAGCGAAAGTTGGGTGTGGCTGGATGACCACACTTCTGGTACATAAGAACATAAGAACATAAGAGACGCCAATGTTGGATCAGGCCAAAGGCCCATCCAGTCCAACACTCTGTGTCACACAGTGGCCAGAAATACCAGTGCCATCAGGAGGTCCAGCAGTGGGGCCAGGACATTAGAAGCCCTCCCACTGTTGACCCCCCCCCCAAGTAATGCTCCTGACAGGTCTGTGGTGAGGCCTCATTTGCAGTACTGTGTGAGTTTCTGGTCACTGTACCTCAAAAAGGATATTGCCTCAACTAGGGCCAGGGCTTTTTCGGCCCTGGCCCCTACCTGGTGGAACGAGCTCCCATATGAGATCAAGGCCCTGCGGGATCTTTTACAGTTCCACAGGGCCTGCAAGACAGAGCTCTTCCGCCAGGCTTTTAGGTGAGGTGGCGGGTGTCCTCCTTTTGATCTATCTATCGGGCCTCCCCTTTGGTGGATCAAATGAGAGTAATACCTGGAAGCCAATCGCGACACGTTACATCTGTTGAGGCTCTGATTGGATATACAGAAACTGCACTGTATTTTACCTGTTGTATTTTAACTGGTTTTAATTGTTTGTTCTGCAGGGCCTGCAAGAAGGAGTTTTACCTGTTGTATTTTAACTGGTTTTAATTGTTCTGCAGGGCCTGCAAGAAGACAGAGTTTTACCTGTTGTATTTTAACTGGTTTTAATTGTTTGTTCTGCAGGGCATGCAAGACATATGTTCTTATGTTCTTAGGAAACAGTGGAGAGGACCTTCCTTGGTTTCTTGTAAAAGATCCCTGTCATCCCTTGCAACTCGCCACGCTGTTACCTAACAGAAGGTTTGGCGGGGTGAGTTAAATTATTATAAAGGAAAAGTCTTCCTGGAGCCCCACATGAACACACATAAAGCCTTATACTGAATCAGACCTTCGGTCCACCGTGGACAGCATTTGTCTATGCAGACTGACAGTGATCCTTTTAACTGGAGATGCCGGGGATTGAACCTGAGACCTTCCGCGTGCCAAGCTGATGCCTTACCACTGAGTCATGGCCCTGCCGCCCCCTTGGGGATTTTCACAGGATTGTGATCCATACAGCCCTTTTTGGGTTGCGGAATGTTTCCCACCCAGGTGATTACCGGAATTGGTGAGGATGAAATCTGTGTTACAGTTACCTATAAAGAAGAATGCAAAGCTTATTTTATGGTTCAGTCCGCTGAAAACCTGATGGGTGGCTGTTACTCCTAGTAACCTCCCTCCCATTAGATTTTGAACGGTAGCACTGAGGTTACTTTTGCGGCCGCATTACATTCTGCTCTGAATGTTAAAGGGTGAGAACTCACACAGCCCAGTAACTTGAGATGGACCTTTAACAAGCCACTCCTATATATAAACGACTATGAGCTGTAATTCCATTTCATCGACTGACAAAGTGTGCGTGCACACAAAAGCTCACATCTTGAATAAAAATTTGTTGGTCTTAAAGGTGCCAATGGACTCTAACTTTGTTGTTCACCTAGAACATGGAAAAGGTAAACTAAGCACACGCGCACATCTCTTTTGGGACAAACAGCAAGCAGCGGGTCGCTCCTTCCCCTGTTCTTGCAGCCACAGCGCAGGCTGCGACTAGGAGGGAGAAGAAGAGACTGGATTTATACCCCGCCCTTCACTACCCAAAGGTGTCTCAAAGCGGCTTACAAACTCCTTTCCCTTCCCCTCCCCACAGCAGACACCCTGCGAGGTAGGTGGGGCTGAGAGAGCTCTGACGGAAATGGCTATTTTTCAAGAACAGCTCTGACAGAACTGTGCCTTGCCCAAGGTCATCCAGCAGGTGCAAGTGGAGGAGTAGGGAATCAACCCCGGTTCTCCCGGATTAGAGTCCGTGCACTTAGCCACTACACCAAACTGGCACTCAGCTGCTGGACCCCTTCTGGCAGGTAAAAGCTGAGTGTTGCATGTGCCCAGAGTTCCCTGGATCATGAAAGTTTAAGAGCCAGTTTGGTGTAGTGGTTAAGTGTGCGGACTGTAATCTGGGAGAACCGGGTTTGATTCCCCACTCCTCCACTTGCACCTGCTGATGTGACCTTGGGGCAGTCACAAGCTCTGGCACAGCTGTCCTTGAAAAAGAGCCGTTTCCGTCAGAGCTCTCTCAGCCCCACCCACCTCACAGGGTGTCTGTTGTGGGGAGGGGAAGGGAAAGGAGTTTGTAAGCCGCTCTGAGACTCTGAGTGAAGGGCGGGGTATAAATCCAATCTCTTCTTCTTCTCTACAATCCGACAACTTCTGCCACCAAATCCATATTAACGCTCCGCTGATTTCAGAAGTGTCAGCAAGAGGATATTGCTGTGAATGCTACCAAAAGGAAACTAGTGTGGAGAGTGTGGAGAGTGTGCAGAGAGGCACCGGCGGGGACTTCTCACACCAGGCCCTGAAATGGGGTTTCATTCTGTTAAAGGACGAACTGCTGACAGCCTTCCAGTGCAACCTGGCTGTCTCAAGTGGCTGGGAAACTGATGGAAGGGGAAGTTTCCTTGTTCACATGCTCCGGCCTGTTGAACATAACAATTAAACCCCCACAGATTTAATTAAATTCGGGTAAGCAAATCTCGGAGCTGCGGTGGCTCAAGTGGTTAAGATGCAGAACTGCAGGCTGTGGAAGGTCAGTAGTTCAGCAGTTCCAGACCCGGGTTGCCACATGACGGAGTGAGCTCCCGTCTCTAGTTCCAGCTCCTGCCAACCTAGCAGTTCGAAAGCAAGAAATTGGAAGTAGATAAATAGGTACCCCTTCGGTGGGAAGGGAACAGCATTCTGTGCACCTTGGTGTTTAGTCATGCCGGCCACATGACCATGGAAATGTCTTCGGACAGCGCTGGCTCTTTGGCTTTGAAACGGAGATGAGCACCGCAACCCTAGAGTCGGACTCGACTGGCTTTCGAGCAAGGGAACCTTTACCTTTACCTAAGCAAATCTGCAGGGGCTTGAATTTCAGGTCAAAGGCAGAAGGACCCTAGAGGACATCTTCCCAATTCAGTTTAGAAGAAGAGGGGGAAGAGGAGAGGGAGATTGGATTTATACCCTTCCCTTCACTACCCAAAGGAGTCTCAGAGCGGCTTACAAACTCCTTTCCCTTCCCCTCCCCACAATAGACACCCTGCAGTGTTCCCTCTAAGCTGAGTTAGTGTGAGCTAGCTCAGTTTTTTAGCCTCCAGCTCACACATTTTTGTCTTAGCTCAGGAAGGATGGCTCCAGAGCAAACTAATTTATGCAGTAGCCAAATTGCTGACTCACAACTTTAATGCCAGTAGCTCACCGAGTAGAATTTTTGCTCACAGGACTCCATAGCTTAGAGGGAACATTACCTGTGAGGTAGGTGGGGCTGAGAGAGCTCTGGCAGAAACTGCTCGTGAGATAACGGCTTTGAGAGAACTTGTGACTGACCCACGGTCACACAAGCAGCTGCGCGTGGTGGGAATCAAACCCGGTTCTCACAGATTAGAGTCCACGCTCTTAACCACTACACCAAACTGGCTCTATGCTATGAGTTCAGCACAAATGGCATAGATGGGGGCAGGGCACAACATTGCCTATTTTTGTGTGTTCAGAAAAGGCATCGACTTACCCATCCGCTTCCTTTTCAAGCTCGGAACATGGTCGTCCAAATTGCTGGCTTTCATCACAGAACGGGTTGGTTCGGATGAAGCAGAAGATGTGGAGGCCTCTTTCTCTTCCGCGGAAGTGCAAGAGGGAGCACGGGATGGCGGAGGGGGCATCTGCACACAGAGTGGAAGCGTTACTCCAAAGAAATCCCAAATGCTTAACTCCAGAAGCTGGACTCTCTAAGTGAAGGATTCAAGGAAATCACCCCATCCAAATTCAATGCAATGGCATTTACAGGAGGAGGAGGAGGAGGAGGAGGAGGAAGAAGAAGAAGAAGAAGAAGAAGAAGAAGAAGAAGAAGAAGAAATGCAATGGCATTCACAGGAGGAAGAAGAAGAAGAAATGCAATGGCATTTACAGGAGGAAGAAGAAGAAGAAATGCAATGGCATTTACAGGAAGAAGAGAAGAAGAAATGCAATGGCATTTACAGGAGGAAGAAGAAGAAGAAATGCAATGGCATTTACAGGAGGAGGAGGAGGAGGAGGAGGAAGAAGAAGAAGAATGCAATGGCATTTACAGGAGGAGGAAGAAGAAGAAATGCAATGGCATTTACAGGAAGAAGAAGAAGAAGAAGAAGAAGAAGAAGAAGAAGAAGAA